CAATGTTTAAATAATCCATTTTACTAAGAGAACTTCTTCTTTCAGTTTTTGTGGGCCTCTGGTACTTTCTTGGGGGTTCTCCAGAAAATCTTGCCAAAAGGAGATCTAATGAAACAGTACAGGCCAATATCCTCATAACGGACAACAACAAACTCCCGAATTAAAAGGTGGATGTTATCCATACTTTTCATATTCACTCACACATCTTCATATGCACTCAAAGAGCTGAATCAGACTATGGGACTTGGCAGCAGAGGGAACCTGTGTTTTTGTGTTAGTGCTCTCTTTCCAGACCTCAGTGTTTCTTAGGAATGCCTACGTCAGATGTTTTCCTACAGTTCTTCTTTTGCTTTTTTTGTTTAAATCATCCCCCTGGCTGGTTGTGTTGCACTGGAGGTTGCTGTTGCTGCCAGGGGTGGTCCTGAGGCACCCTTCTTTTCAAGAAAATATTCAGCGTGTAAATGTTTTATACTGAATACTTTGCCTTTATGTTTTGGGAATCTGCCTTTGCTGTCTTATATCTCTGGATTTCTCCTGCAGGGACAGGCCTGTGCACTGGAAGTGTGAATTAAAGATAATTGACTGTGGAAGTGGTGTACTTTTTCCTGTGAGCTGACTTTGCCCTTGTACTGAGAATGTTTACAATGATGAGAACTCATTTGCTCTTCCTAAGCTTTAGCCAAATGTTTGACTTGTTATAATTTAACTGTGATATAAAGCAAACTGAGGTATTTAATGCCAACATCAGGAGGAGTTACCAAGAGCCAGTTTTCACAAATCCAGTTTTAGGGATGAGTCATTTAATCTGATGCGGTGAAAGCAGAAAAAGATGTTGAAGTACAGACATGTGAGTTCATCTTCCACTTTTCATGTTCCAGAGGAAAAATTTTCCTATCTGGAGGAAATTTTTGAGCTGTCTGCAGTGTTAACTTGTAACTTCATGTACATCCCAAACAGCAAGAATTCAGGACAGTATTAATATTGATCATGGAAAAATAGGACCTTAGAACCCACTGAACTACGGAGTGTCTCTTCTGAGTTCATATAGTAGTGTGAAGAAGGTAAGGTTGATCAATTAACCTGCACATCCACACAAGTTAAGTCTGCTTCTTTCCTTCACCACAGCATTGCAGTTTACAGCAGCAGAGGAACTCAGGTCATAGATAATGACCATAGGTGGTAGGATGTACTCATTCCAAGAGCGTAAACTGCGTAACAAGTACTTGCTTGTGTACAGAAGCCTGCCATCATTGGTACCCAGAGTATTCAGGAGAAACCCGTCTGTTTCCCCAGTCTTTTGAAAGTGTTGGATACACATGGAGATAATTTTTTGGGAGTGGTGAGAGCCTAGATGAGTTGTGGTTTGTTGGCTCATATTTTAAAAACTTTTTATTAATGGAGGTTGGTTTTTTTTTAAAATTTGTTTATTAAATGACAAAAAGGGTCCAGCAATGTGGGTAGTAATACATTGTGAACGGGCATCAGGAGGTGAAGACAAAGGACCCACTCAGTGTTTCTGTGTTGCTGCTTAATGACGGATGTGTGTTCGAGTTCACATACGCATGAAATCCACCCATTCTGAGAGGGCTTCATTAAGCGCCCAGCCTTTAATAAGCAAGGATCCACAGCCATGTTAGAGAGCTGTTTATGTTCCAAAGTGCCCCTCCAGTTAAAGTCTCCTTAAAAAGAAAATAAAAATCTCTCCCTGCTTCCTGTGGAGGTTTCAGTGCAAACCTAGACTACTCATAGAAAGAGCTGTCTCAGGTGATTTCAAGTGTTTGATTATTGAGTGGGCTGACGAGTCTCTTGCAGTGAGATTATTTGTGTCACCATTCAAGGCTTGTGAAAGACTCATGCACCCCAGAGACAGCTGCCAAATTATTGTATCCTATGGCAATTCTAGAGTATTGCAAAGACTTTCCACCTGTTTTCTCCCAAACTGTGGCAAACAGAGCAAGTTGTTTTAAAAATTAGATTGGAAAGTGCTGTCCAATCTTATTGACATCATTTGGAATCTTCACTGATTCTGGTAAGTTTTTGTGAGCAAATTATGTGTGATTGTTTGTCCAGTTGCTTACCAGCTCGTCAGGGACCTAGACTTCCAGGGAAAACTTTTTTGTGTTTAAACCCTTGAGCCTAGAACAATAGACTTGTGAATAACCTGTCCACTGCAGACCTCCCAGGATGGCAAACATCTGGATTTTAGATTTGTTCATTAGGTGCCACACATTATTTGATGAGGAAGCTCACTTGCTTCCTCTTGTTCTCTTCCTTGCTGAGGTTTTTTTAGAGCTTGCCTCAGAATCACAGTAACTTCTTGTTCTTCCCCCTGTTGAAAACCAGGCTTTTTTAAAATTTAGAATGTAAAGGAAAGCTTGGACTGAATTGGACTCATATTTTCAAACACAATTAAAATACCTTGCTGTGTTTAGATTTCATGGATTTTTACATTTTTGTTTTAAGTAGGGTAGAGGTGTTTGCAAGCTTTAGTTTGTAGTGTTGGGTAGCTTCTTGAAAGAAACAGGAAGGATTGAGGCAAACTATAGCTGTGCTGCTTGTTCTCCAGATACCAGTATTTCCAGCTCTTCTGCATTTGGAATTGCTGGCAAACAGGTTGCATGGTTGTAATCTCAGGTCACCACAGGTCAAATGAAACAGCGTTATCGTTCTTGTGGATCATGCAGGCAGAAGAAATCAGATTCTGAGGTGTTTCATTGTGCTCTAAGGCACTAAGAAACATCTGGGAAACAGCAGGCTGACTGACATCAGCTTGATCACTGAAAGGACAGCAGCACTGATCCTCTTGGAAGTAATTTCTAGACACATGAAGAAAAAGAATAGACAGGAAACAGCTAAACATGAATTTACCATGGGCAAATTCTTCCTGAGTGTGAAGAAGTGGTGGAGAGAGAAAGATGGTGGCAAAGGGGGAGCAGAGGACCTTGTTTACTTTGATGATACCAAGTTTTTTTAACACTTTTATTAGCATCCCTGGAGCTAAACTGAATTCCCCCTAGATGGATTGTTGGATAGAGTGCAGTGTGTGAAAAACTGGCTGCACCAGCATGGAACTGGCAGAGGGTTATTGGCAGTGTTCCTTGTGGGCTGATACTGATGCCAGTGTTTAATATTTTCATTGGTGGCACAAATGACAAGTTGGAGCACACTCAGCAAAACAAAGGTGACACCGAATTGGTGGAAGTAGTGGATTACAGGAGCTGTCATTCAGAGGAACTTGAGAAAGTTGATGTGGACTAGCAGGAGCCCAGTAAACTTAACAAAAAGAAAGGCAGAAAACACCTTTGCAGAGATAACAGGCTGTAAGTTGACTAGAATTCAGCAGCAAGACCTTGTAGCCACAAAAGCAAACTGTAGGCTGGGCTGTGTGAGCAGGAGTGTAGACAGCACATTGAGAGAAGGGTTTTCCTGCTCTGAGCTGAGATAGAATACCCATACAGAGTGACTGTAGGGAGCACTGTGGAGGACTACTCAGGGGGTTGGGTCGGAGCACATGACATACCAGGGAAGGCTGTGAGAGCTCCTTGTGTTTCACCTGAGAAGGCTGAGGGGATGCTCCATTTGACTCCAGCTATCTGTAGGATCATTATGAGGAGGAGGGACCTAGACTCCTTTTAGAGATGTCTAGTAGAAGGACAGGCATGAGGTGATTGTCAGAAGTTTCAGGTGGGGAAATTTGGGTTGAGCATAAGGAAAAATACCCTCCATTGTGAGGGTGGTGAAAGAGGTGGTGGATTCTCTATCCCTGAGTGGGGTCCCGAGCAGTGTGGTTCAGCTTTGAAGCTAGGTCTGCCTTGAGCAGAATTTAGTATTTAATATTGCCCTTTTCTTGAAACAATGGTTTGTTAGTGAATGAAAATAAATAACTGTGTTATGGTATTTTAAGAGGAACAACGCAAAAGTACTTTTTTACCTAAATCTTTCATATGCAGCTCGTGTCACATTTCTAGCTTTAGATCTTTAGAAGTGGACATTACTGAATCCTGTGATTGTCTTTCTATGAATTAAAAATAAGCCAAGTCTCTTTCTCCTTAAAAGAGACTGTTATGTTCAGCAGAACTCGAGGTGGTGATCCATTTTTGCATATGAGCTTGAGAATGGGAGCATTGTCTACAGCCCTGCTTACTTTTGATGGTTTAGGTCAAAGCTTATTTGAGAGATTGTTAAGGAAAAACTCTGAAATGTCTTCTAGCATCAAGCTACTTTCCTGGCAAAGAACAAATTTTCTTGGTAGCTTGTTTTCTTCAGGAATTTTTCTTCAACATCCACGGAGCTTCAGGAGAATGTGGCCGTAGTGCTACAGTGAATTGCCATCAGTGAAATACAGGCCTACTCAGTTGCACACTTTCATGTTGTTTGCCATTATATAAGACTTTCTAGCTCATACTGGTATGTATGTAGCTCTCCATTAAAGCAATTTCAAAAAATTGTGGTATGAAATTAAAATTACCTTTTTAAAATTTTATAAGCTGTGTGGGTTTGATCTTTAGACCTTTTCTATCAAGTGAAGTACTGTAAATCTCCATGCAGAATTTTAGCTTACATTTCACCAGCAAAAAGAGCAGTAGACTTACTGGTGTTGTGTAGCATCCTGGGGGAACTGCTTTGCGAACTTGGCTGGTGTCATTTTAACACCTGGGCTCTTAGATGGGACACACCTGAGGGAATATACAGAGTACTGTCATCCTAGAAAGAGCCTGGAGTAGTATAGGCCAAAATTTCCATGCCCTTTTAATGGATTAACTGAATTAGCCGAGTGCAACGATTTAGGCAATGGGATAATAGTATTATAGAACTTTAAATGATTTTGATTATTTTGATAGGTGTTTAAAGGGGAGTTTTATGTGCTGAATAGCTGGGGCTGCCTTATTGAGGTTATATATGGAATAAGATAGCATTCTACTGTCTGAGGGCTTTTTAAGTAACATTGTTTATTCCTTTCATCTATGTGTTACATAATTTATTTTTTTTTACTCTTTCAGGCACTGCATAAGTATGCCCTGTTCTTCTATTTGTGATTTCCTGCATCTCCAGATCTTTGTGTTGCTTCTTATCCAGTTGCCATGGGGTAGTTGCCCTATCCTGTAAATTTTCCAGGATGTGTAGGTGGGTTATTACATGAGGCTGTCACATGAGCCCTGGATCAGGGAGGTTCAGCAGTGTGTGTAAGGGGTTGTGTGCACGAGGAGTGGGAACCAGGGCTGGGATCTCGAGTGAAGTGCTCCCAGGGCTGTCCATTGGAGTGCTGGCTCGCACTCCAGAGCAGATGGGGTGGCCCAGCGAGCTCCTTGCTGTCGGTGCCATGGTGGCATGACAGTGCCATGGTGGGATGACACCGCTTGATATAATGGTCTCCTCGAGCCAGGTCTTATAAGCTCTTGGAGATTTATATCACACCCGAGATAGCTCAGCCACCTCAGATGGCTTCTGTGGCAGTGTTGGAAACAGAAATTTTTTTAATAAAAGGCAAAATAACAAAGATCTTTACAGAGAAAACCGAGCCAGGGCAAGAGGTTCTTGCTCCTGGTAAAACACCTCCCAAAAGCAATTAGTTTCTTTGTTCTCTTCTTTTTCTAGTAAATTGCTTAGGTGGAACTTTTTGGCTTCTGTCCAATTGGCTATCCTTAAGTTTGAGGTGAAGTCCCCAAGGTCCTATGTGGTGTCTTTTGACCTAGCTGAGGAGAGAAGCTTTGGGGCTTTTTTCCTTTTTTTAGGAGACAAAGGATGATTTTGTCACTCCGTCAACAGGGGGCACGTGCCTACAACCGCTGGCTCGACGAGGCTGCTGAGCAGGGGCTGTGGGGTGCAAGGGCAGCAGTGTGGCCCTGCCAGGGCGATGAGCTGCCTGTCACTCCACTGCATCCTCTGAGTTCCACGGCTCCAGGGATGCCTGCCTGGAGCTGCATCCGAAGTGTGCCTTACTGGGCAGGTGCAATGTCTCTGTGATTACTCATGGAACAAGCACACAAAAAAGTTGCTGAATGTGAAAGTTTTCTTTTCAGTTTCTTCGTTTCCTGGAAGGGAGAGACAGCAGAAGGGAGAAGGGACTGAGATTAGAGTTAAAAGCTCTCTTCCCAGTTTGACTATTAATTTGTTTCTGACCTTTTGTCTAAGATTTTTCATCTCTGTTAGACTCTTTGCAAACTGCAAAAGTCAGGAAGATAGCAATGTTCACACCTTTTATTAAAGTTTGAATTCAAGACAGAATTAATACGATTGAAGCATTTTTACTTTTTTTCCCAGATAATTTGTTTCTGCCACAGCTAACAAGTCTTTCAGTAGAATAATAACAAAGATGATGTTTGGCGATGGTATGTTTTTAACTTTGGCTCTGTCTCAGACTCCGAGTTCTAATACTTTTTCTATAGGCATAGGTGGGCACAAAATTATTTGTACGTTACTGTAGCTCTGCAGAAGTATATTACAGAAATAGAACCATCTTACTTTTAGGCTCTCAGAGGTTCATTGTGAAGAAGCCCAAATACTTTCCTTGATTGGTTGGCTGCTTGACACAGTCTTCCACAATTTTCCAGGTGGAATAGAAGTACATATAAGTGTCTTTCCATACATATTAAGTTCAGGATTTGATGTGCTCTGTGTGTTTCACACAGGTTGTCTGCATGGTATGCATGACCAGTTTGATGCTGTCTTGGGCACACTACTGCATGTGCACATTTAGCTGTTTTTTGAGATACCTGGTGAGCCCAATTCCTTATACTTGGAGATTAAGAGAATATTTGAGATGGGACACAGAAGACATGAAGTAATTGTTGCCATTGTGAGACTACTATGTTAAGTGGTCAGATTTTGCTGAGTATTTTAAGTTTTGGGCCTGTGTAATACCACAGGTTGGGTTGAGTGTATTTTTATATGGCACTGTGGATTTTTTGCTTTATTCAGTGTAAGGAATGCTTAGAACATGCATTTTCTCCAGGATTTTCTTGTGTGTTTAGTTGACACCCGAGTTATTTACAGACATCTAACAAGTCAGAATTTTCTCATGATAAGAAGTCATTGAGTTGTACTGAAAAAGCTCTATATAACGAGCTGACATTTGTGCCTTGTTTCCATGGATGAGGTGGATAAGGTTTGGGGGGGTTTTCCCCTTTCTCTTTCAATTCTTTAGTTCTGAAATCAGCTGTTTTCTGGCCCAAATTCAGTTCATCAGAATGCTCAAACTTAGGCTTAATTGAAGCATCTATTACCATTGCACGGTCAAGAATCACATCATAAAATAACAGGAAGCAATAGAAATAACAAACTTTTTAAAAATTTTAAAGATAAAGAGAAGGAAAGGTTTATTTTTAAATTCCAACATGAAATAGAAAATAACCACTAGATGGCACTTGAAAATTGCATATTAATATAATACATCTGCTTTCAAAATCATTACAAGTGTTCGTAGACCCAAAACGTTTTCATGTGGATCCATAGTTCTGAGAGACAGTGATACTTCGGAAACCAGAATTAAAGTTCCTTTGGTATCTCTTTCTGTGATCAGACTAAACCGCTGCATTAAGAAATCTAGTCTGAATTAAAAGCTCATTCCTGAGTCTTAAAATGCTGCCTTTAGCAAGATGATAAATACAAATATAACTGATAAATGTGTGTAAATTAGTTTGACTTCCACTTACTTTGAATGGAATCACAGAATTGCAATGATCCTTGAAGATCATGGAAGTCCACCATTAAACCATGTCCCTAAATGTCAAATCTACATGTCTTTTAAAAGACCTCCTGGGATGGTGACTCAATCAGATCTCTGAACAGCCTGTTCCAATGCTTGACAACCCTTTTGGTGGGGAAGTTTTTCCTTATATCCAATCTAAACTTGTGGCTATTTCCTCTGGTTGTTTGTGAGAAGAGATTTGTAGCCATTTGTTTTAGCTCTTCTTGGCATTCTGTTTACCTACTTGGGTTATGCCTAATGTGAGATACAATGCCTTTTGGCAAAGTGTTGCTGGTTTAAATATGGTCAGTAGCTTGGAAATTAACTCAGAGTTTGGTAGGGAGGTGTTCATACAGGAAGCAGACTCACAAGGGTTCACTTCTCATTTTTGGTTTTACACACTTTTACACACCTCTCGGTAAGAGAAGAGGATGAAAGGTGGTTGTGACAATTTGATTCTGAAGAAAATATATTAGTAGCCCAGAATTTATTATCAAGTCAGCCTTGTGGTATTTCTGTTAGTGAGCATGGCACAAGCTCCTTTTATTTTAAATTCTTATGTAGCCTCTGTATGGTTGTTTCTGAGATGCATAAGAGTTACATTACGGGCTTTATATTGGAGATACACAAAGCTAAGTAAATATTTTCTGTAGCCATTAATTTGATTATTTTTTCCATAAGAATAGTGGATAGTAGCTGTACAACTACTGCTTTAGCAGTTTAGACAACTGCTTTAGCCTATTGCACTTGAATTGAAGAGAGCAGAAGTAGGCAAAGTATAATATGGGGTTGTGCAGGGATATTTTATGGCCTATTAAATATGTATTAAGGGAGTAATTATTTCATTTGCTCATACAGCTGTATATGGTTCCCCTGACACTGGTGGTAATTATGAGTGAATTTTATTATGAAAGCTCCGTTATGCACATAGTAAAACTTAGAATGGGTTACAGTAGTGACAGACGCAGCTGCACTGTCCTGGTTTTGCAGAAGATACTGGGACACAATCAACAAGAGGTGAAAAGGAGAGTTGAACAATTTTACCATTCAGCTGTGCTCCCCCTGCGATGTCTGCTGCAGGAACGTCTCCTCTTTGTGCTGCTCTGCACTGCACAAAAGCACTTGGCTGTGTTTCTGCCATGACTGCACCCTACAGCAATTTGTATGCCTGCTAATCACCGATAAAAATGGAGCTTTGGGAGTGGCAAGTCTAAAACATGTGCTTTTATACTTTTTTTTTTCTTTCATTTATGGGGTCTCATCCTCCAAAGGCTGTGAGCAGAACTCCAGGCTATCATTCTTGTTCACATAAAATTCCAATTTGACTTGGATTTCTTACCTGGTAGGTGCTTCAGTGAGGAAGCTGTTGCTGAACTGCAGATGCCCTCCTGGGAATGATCTGATGAGAATGTCCATGCACTGAAATGCATTAAGTTTTTCGTGTGGCCATCTTACCTGTGAGCTCACTTTAAAAACTCTTTATGCTGAGATTAAGCATTTAGTGACTTGCAAAAGCTAGAGAGCTAGAACTCCTGGTGATCCACTTGACAAATCATAAAGACTTTCGTTTTGCAACATTGAAATAATGGGGAATGCAGGAATGACAGCTGTCTTTCTATAAAAGCTGCTCCCCATGCAGGCCCAGGTAGTCTTGCTTAGACAGGGACACAAAGGAACAAAAAAAAAATTTCATGGTGCGCTCTCTCAGCTCTAACTTCCTGAAAGTCAGTGGTTTTTTGGATTGTGATGTTGCTGTTGTCTATGATGCTCTGCAAACAAGCACTCATCTCCTGTCTGAGAGGTGGTAGCTCTTTACAGTCTATTCCATGAAAAGTGTTCTGCTGATAAATTGCTCTGGTATCAGTAGAGGGCTCTGAAGCAGTTGTTGTTATTATCTCCCCTCTGTGGGAGGAAGTATTGCAAAGTAGGTTGGGTTCTGCTGCCTCTGTGTTATGAATTTCAGGCGTTTATTCTGCTCACCTTCCGAGGTTTCTTGGTGCTCTCTCCTGTTGCAGCAGCAAATGTCGAAGCAAAAAGAAATGCTGCTTTGGAGCAAAAGGATTGTCAGAATTTCCAGGCTCTGTGGGTTACTTCTCCTTCATCTAGGAGAAGAGCTATGTTTAGTAGTGCAGGTGTCCCAGTGTGTCCCTCCCCTGGGTGAGTGACTTCACCTACATGTGCAGGAGGCCTTGCCCTGCTCCCCAGTTTGTGGCTCCTCTGCATTAGCACTGCACAGAGCATGCAAGGGGACAACCCCCTGCCTGCTCTCCAGGAGCTCTAGGCAGAGGAAGGTGCCTTGTTCCAGCAGATGCACAGGCTTGTAGGCAGACCTGCTGGTGATCCTTTGGCACACAGGATGGTTAGCACCTGGTGTCCAGAAAGGTGGATGTTACCCTAATAAATTCTTGCCTTCTGCACTTCATGACCCAGACATTTT